CGCCTGGGTGGCGCAGTCGGTTAAGCGTCCGACTTCAGCCAGGTCACGATCTCGCGGTCCATGAGTTCGAGCCCCGCGTCAGGCTCTGGGCTGATGGCTCAGAGCCTGGAGCCTGTTTCCGATTCTGTGTCTCCCTCTCTCTCTGCCCCTCCCCCGTTCATGCTCTGTGTCTCTCTGTCCCAAAAATAAATAAAAACGTTGAAAAAAAATTAAAAAAAAAAAAGCATGCATCAGTTCCTTGATAATAAGAAACAATCAATATATCATAACTATTAGAATTTCTTGCCTTTGCTTTTTAACTATATAATGTCAATAATTTAGTAAGACTTAAAAAAAAAAACCAGTATTTCTTCCAGAAAAAAATTGTTATTCTCCGAGGGGCCTTACTTTAGAATCACATGGCATCAATCATCACTTTGCTCCTGCATTTTGTGTTGACCCTGGTACCTGGGAAGGAGGTGTGCACTGTGACAGGGTCACAGGGGCCATCAAGCCACTGTTGCTGGTTTGTCACCTCATCTATTTTGTACTAATTCTTTGGTTGACCCTTTTGACCCATCCCATGCCTGTAACTTCAGATTGCAGACAGCTAGGAAGCTTCCTTTCATTTGTCCCCATTGTCTCCATCCAATATTCATAGTAAACTGAGGGAGGAAGTGACACGTGAATCATGTTCACGGCAGGGCACCCTCCTCTGCGTGGGTGTGCCTTGGCAGCTGGGCAGATGCTTGGGCAAGTGAGGAGTTGGTCAGGATGAACTGAATCCCATACCGGTTTGCTGAGCCTAAGTAATAATGGGTTGTGAACTGTCCTCCCCCCGGGGCTTCCAGGTTGAGCTTCTGACCCCTTATAACCTCCACTCCTTTGGAAGGTGTACGGAATCTGGGTGGAAGTTGGAGGGACAAAGCAGCAGAAGAAGGAAGAAGGAGGCGGAGTGCTTTGTTCCTCTCCTTCAAGCTCTGAGCAACTTACCTTCTTTCTGGGAGATCTTGGTTATTCAGAGCACGCTCTGAGATCTTGCCTGGAAATTTGTCAGTGCCTCCACGGCTACATCATTTCCCCACTCTCATTCACTTTCTGAACGTGACACCTTTTCAGAAAATTGGAAAACAAATATCCAGGAAATCAGAATGTCATTTCTTAGGCATTAAAAACCGCTTCTAATGGCTACATATACAGCCAGGGAGGCTGTAACGAAAACACACACTAAATATTTGCATCTTTGGTGTTCTGGTATAAATTTACAAGGCTGATCTGTGGTCCTGAATACAGAGCATTTCTGTTAGCCCAGAGCAGGAATTTACATGCTTCTGGGAAACAAAATCAATCAATAATAATGTTCTTCTACACCAGATTTAGCTTATAAATGTGATCAAAGAACTATCCTATAAAAGCGACGCACACATAAATCCTTATAATAAGAGCATTTTCTAATGATAAATAGTTTCCAGGGTTTTTCATTGTTTCCTGCTCAATTTCTACAAGTTGGCAAAGCTTAAGAGAAAGGTTTTTAGATCTTTATCTTACAATGCAATTGTTTATCAAATACCAGAACCATCGTTAGCCAGGTAGAAGGCATTCTTGGGACTGAATATAGACACAAGGAAAGGTAATCTGCAAACGAATTGATTTTTCCAGTTGACTTATTGCTTTGCCGTATCAAAACCTGGGAGTGGATGAGGCCAGCACTCTTTGTATACTACGGAATAATTTTTTTCTAAGTAGATAGCAGTACCTGGTCAACAATTTTTAATGGGTGTCAGATCTAGCTTACATTGTATAATTAATTGCAAGGCTGGGATACAACAAATCAGGTCGCGTCTGTTCTGTATAAATGAGTGAACTTGGCTTCTGTACTTCAACATATAAATGTAGTTACTAAGGCATAGATTATCATAAAAGGGGGAAGATGGGGTGCCTGGGTGGCTCAGTCGGTTAAGCGTCCCACTTTGGCTCGGGTCATGACCTTGTGGTTCGTGAGTTTGAGCCCCATGTCAGGCTCTGTGCTGACAGCTCAGAGCCTGGAGCCTGCTTCAGATTCTGTGTCTCCCTGTCTCTCTGCCCTTCCCACATACCTGCTCTGTTTCCCTCTCTCTCTCAAAAATAAATAAAAACATTAAAAAATTTTTTAAAAAGAGGGAAGAAAACTGATAGCCAGCAACCTTTTGCTCATTCAGAAGAAGGGAAGTGAGTTTAAAGTAACAATGAAAAATGTCTCCTTTAGAATATGTCTCTCTCGGGGCGCCTGGGTGGCGCAGTCGGTTAAGCGTCCGACTTCAGCCAGGTCACGATCTCGCGGTCTGTGAGTTCGAGCCCCACATCGGGCTCTGGGCTGATGGCTCAGAGCCTGGAGCCTGTTTCCGATTCTGTGTCTCCCGCTCTCTCTGCCCCTCCCCCGTTCATGCTCTGTCTCTCTCTGTCCCAAAAATAAATAAACGTTGAAAAAAAAAAATTAAAAAAAAAAAAAGAATATGTCTCTCTCATTTTATTGCCTGCTCTTCTAAATGAGACTCTACTGCTCTCCCTCATCCCCTCGGCTCTTGGAAAAAGTTCTTGAGGAGGAAACTTTCACCCCAAATTATAGGTGCAGTTGGGACTAGTAATAAATAATTGAGCAGCCCTTCCAGCACTGCAAGCTCACTTTGTGCTTTTTCTTCCTCAGCTGTGTTGGTCTAGCCTCCCAGAGTCTGAGTACATAAATCAAAGTACAAGGGATGAGCAGAGCCCATTCCAGGAATCTGCCCTGTGACTCTCCCCAGTCAGTCTGCAGGTGTTTGTGAGCAGGAAGGAAGAAGATGAATAACAGCCAATGTTGATTAATCACACAGCATGCACCAGAGAGGTTCTGGGCTTTAATCTAATATCTCATGCAATGCCCATAACACCCGAGAAGAGTAATATTCTTCTCATTTTATGGATGAGGTAAAACCATGTGTAAAGTTTGAAAAGCCACTGACTGGCAGAATTTATGAATTTGGATTAGTCCCCTTAGCCATTACCCTTACTAGCAGGAGCTTTTCTATTGGCAAGTGCACTAAACCCTCACAATAACCCAACTACAAAATATTATTATGCTTCCCATTGTTTGCTTTGGAATAACTCAGAGGTAACTTTCTCAAGGTTACATTTAGTAAGGGACAGAGCCAGAATTTGAACTGTTCTAAAGCCTATGTTCTTTCTATCTCCCACATTATTTCTATCAAGCATTTGACATGCATATTTTTAAAGAGATCCAGTGCCTAACTTTGTATTTAATAAGGCAGATATAAAAAGAACATTCACTTAGCATTATACTCTGTAGATCTATCCACATTCTTGCAAATGGCAAGATTTCATTCTTCTTTATGGCTGAGTAATATTCCATTGTGTATATATCTTCTATATATCTAGATATAGATATAGATATAGATATAGATATAGATATAGATATAGATATAGATAGATATATCTCCTATATATCCTCTTTATCCATTCATCTATCAATGGACACTTGGGGTGCTTCCATGTCTTGGTTATTTTCAATAATGCAGTAGACATAGGGGTGCATATATCTTTCAAATTAGTATTTTTGTACTCATTGGGTAAATACCCAGTAGTGGAATTATTGGATCATATGGTAAGGTGAAAGAGATTAAAAGTACACTTATGAGTACACTTGATGAGCACTGAGTAATGTATAGAACTGTTGAATCACTATATTGCACACCTGAAACTAATATAACACTGTATGTTAACTGTACTGGATTGAAGAGAAAAAAGAAAGAGAAACATTCATTAGACCAAGAGATACAGTTTTAAGATTCTGCCCTTTTACTGAGAGGAGAGAGGGATGAAGCTTTGTGTTGGTAAGGAGAGTGGGCTTTAGTCTTTAAAGAAGGTGTTGTGGGAAAGGAGTTTGTCTCTGTAATTTACAGGTGAGATGAAAGGATATAGCAGAAGGAATTTTGCATTAAGTACAATGCTGAAAGTAATGGAAAATCCCAAACAGGAACTTAACAAGGAGTTAATTTTCCCCACAAACAAGAAGCCTAGTGGTAGGAGACTCAACTGTTGTTCAGCTGCTCAATGATGCCAATGGAGCCAGGCTCTTTCTTCTTCCCCCCTCCTCCCTTACCATGTTGGCCTTCTCAGTGAGAGTCATAAGACATCTGCCATAAAGTCAGGAACAAAAGGGCAGAGGCTGTACCAGCCACATTGGTCTCATGTTAGCAGAAAAGCAAGAGCTTTCTCAGACCCCTCCTCACCCCCAGCCATCTTCCACTTGAGTCTCATCAATTAGTAGTATGTCCCATGGCCACCCCAGCAGACAGGGAGGCTGGGAAAGCCAGTGTTTACCTGGACACATGGCCCCCAGCAGAACTGCATTCCAGATGGACAGGACAGTGTGGAAAATTAGGATGAGAGTCTTCCTTGGTTGAGGAATGGACAGGAGTTAGGGCAACAGGGCTGTATTTGGGAGAAGGAGGGTGACCTTGATGAAAAAAATGTGGTCGTGGGTTTTGTATGTGCCATTACACTGAAGTAGCCCCAGAGCATCATACCAGTGCTCTAACCCTTCCTTCCTTCATCCTGTTCTTGACTGTATTCTTCCTGCCCCAACACTAGACCAATAGCACTTTGGCCTAAATAATTTTGATAATCATCATATCTTCTGACTCACTTTAGCTTTTAATTTTAAGTTAAGTAAATTATTGCTGAATTAATTAACTAATTCATGAGATGTGGAATTTCCAGGCAGGTATCAGCTGGTGAGGGCCTTTGCAATGACCAGGAGCTTTCACTGCTTCAGAGGAGAAACTTCTCAGGAGCCTGTGGAAGGTGCCTGGATGCCATTAGTACCAGAATCCTCATATACAGATGTTGGCTAACTGCCCCAAGCTCTGAGAAGAGGAATCTGAGGGGCTTGAGAACTCTTGGGTCTTGGATCAAAACAACACCGTAAGACCTTGTTGCTACTTCCTGTGGTTACAGCTCCCTGGCTTCCTTCTTTATCTTTGCAGAGCCAGCTCTCCCAGGCGCTGAACGGACTGTCAGACAGGGCCAAAGAAGCCAAGGAGTTTCTGGTGCAGCTCCGCAACATGGTCCAACAGATCCAGGTATTGGCAGCACCTGAGACAGAAAGCAAACTCTGTGGGTTAAGATGTAGCTGTGTAGCAGGTAGTTTGTTTCTTCTACCTTAATGTGTTGTGGAGAAATTCCAGTTATTCTTTTCTGCTCTGTCCCTTCTAATACAAACACACATACAGGCCAACTTCAAACACACCCCTTCTTGAGGTGGTTGTGTTTTGCCAACAAGCCAGCAACACAACCTAGTTTTCCAAATAGTTGCTACCTTTGGCACTAGGGTCCTAATTCTCCACTACTGCGTATTTAGAAAGAGGCCTCTTTGTGAATTCAGAGTCATTATTGTTGAGTTTTTAAAACTCTTCAGGTTCCCAAAACACCTTGCAATAATTATATCTTATCTGATGATAACAAACAGGTCACATTTTCTCTTTTTTCCTTCCTTCCTTCCTCCCTCCCTTCCTTTCCTTCCCTCCTGCCTTTCCTTCCTTCCTTCCTTCCTTCCTTCCTTCCTTCCTTCCTTCCTTCCTTCCTTCCTTCACTCTTTCCTTCCTTCCTGCCCATAGTAATGCTTCTTCTCTACTTAGATACTTAAGTGTTTTCCAACCATGACCCCCCTGGTAACTATAATTTCAGATTGCTTTGTTTGGACACAATGACCCAAAGATCAGCCAGCATTTGAGAGCTCGTGAGCTCTCCACTATTGCTAAAGGGAGAAACCATAAACTGCATGAGATGCTTAACTAGTGAACTTCTACACTGTTTACTGTTCTTATGTTTTGAGGTTTGCCTCACAGAAATAACCTTCACTCTGGCCTCCAGTAAATTGGCTTTCCTAGTTAATATTTAACCCATGTCAAAGTAGAATGGTCTTTTTAAAGGTAAGCCAGGCTTTCAAAGCATCTTATATTGATTTCCTCACTCTTTTTTCCATGTATGTTCATGTTAAAACTTTTGATCCCCTGACAATCTAACAGTTGTACACTTTCTTCTGTTTTCCAGAACAACAGAGGTGATTGGTCAGTCCCTTCTTTGCTTTTGCCCTGTACCCCACCTCTTCATCAGAGCAAAGCTTTCCTTCTGCTCTAAATCAGAAACTGCAAGAGGGCTGCCCTCATCCTCCCAATATTACCCTGTGTGGGACATAGAGCCCTCTTAAATGACGTTTTCCAGAGGACTTCTCTGAGTACTCAAAAACAATTGCCAGGAAAGCCAAAACTTAGCATGTAGAAGGCACTAGTCAAGCAATTACTAATATAACACATTACATGAAGAAGATCTTGCATTTAAAAAGTTCTCAAATGCCTATCAGTAGATCCTTATATTAAGAGACATAGTTCTTTATGACTTAGAGAATAAATTAAAATTTGATAGGCTAAGCTGTTCCTTCCTTGCCAGCCCCCTAGAGCTTACGGTTGACTCAGTTGGGTGCTATTTTCTCAATGCTATTCATGTATGTGTGAGTATTCATCTTTCATTTGCTATAAATTATAACTGTCTTTCAGATTATCACTTGACAATCAAAATTACATATGTGATTTACTGAAAGGACTATCATTAATGAATGCTTATGATTTAGGGAGAGAATTGCTTGAAAGAAATGCTATAGCATGTACAGATTTAAATCAAGAAAATAGTTAGATCCAACATTCAATGTAAACATCACAGAGAAGCTATAATTCATTTAGAACATGGTTAGTGTTCCCCCACAAGCTATTGGTTCGTGGCTTGACTTTTAGGGCTGGGTAGAAGTCAAGCCAGTTGTTCTTGACTGTCTATGTACATTAACTATTTGCTTTCCTTAATAAAAGCAGCAAGTACTTTTCCCATGATTATTCTTATAAAGTTCTATTATCATTGAATTATTGATTAATATTGAAGACCACTTCTGTCCTCTTTCTTCCCTCTTCTCTTGAATTTAATGATTCTTTAGCTCTCATGCCTCTACAATATCCCACCTGCTCAGGCAGCCAGCCTCTCTGAATGCCACCTTCCACCATACATAAGCAGACATCCGCCAGCCCTCAGAAAGGTTCATGTTCAACTCCACAAACTGAAGCTTTATTTTACACAATATAATGTAAACTGTGGGTATGATTTCCTTTTGATAAATTTATTAAGTAATATTTATCCTTTTCAATTTAAAGTGAACACTATCACTGTAGAATGAAATGTATCCAGGTATTGAAACAACGTGAAATGTGCATTGTGGACAGAGTTCCTTTTCATCTCCTTCAGCAGGGATTTGTACCCCACAAATGGTCAGGGGAGCTCTGTCTTCTCCTGCAGCCCAAGGAGACAAGGTGCTTTGCGGCTGAGAGATGTGCTTTCTCATGCAGGAGAACAGTGTGGAGTTCGAGGCTTGCCTAGTGGCCCAGTGTGATGCCCTCATCGACGCCCTCAACAGAAGGAAAGCCCAGCTGCTCGCACGTGTCAACAAGGAGCATGAGCACAAGCTGAAGGTGAGTGCTGCTCCATGGGGAGAGGAGAAAGCCAAGGAGCCAGGCTCCCAGGGCCGGGATGGACAGGCTAGACGGGTGGGCCAGATGCCCACAGTCTTGGTGGCCAGTGGCTTGGAGAGCAAGGAGCAAGCATCCCTTCATTCCCCACACACTCCATCATTTACCTCACTGATACTTATTGAGTGACTCCCCTGGGCCAAGAATTGCTCTGAGTGTAGGCACAATTAAATAAATAAAAATCACTGCCCTCATGAGGCTTATTTTCCACCAGAAGGGATAAACAGTAAGCAAGATAAGTAAGTCAAATACCCAGTATTTAGTAAAAAAAAAAAAAAAAAAAAAAAAAAAAAAAAAAAAAAAAAAGCTAAGAAAAATAATAAGGATTAGGGGATGGAAGTCCTAGGAAAGGGGGTTGAAGTTTTAGACAAGGTGGCCAGAGTGGCCATACAGAGGCAAAAGGTATTTTTGAAATGGGAATGGAAACCATGCTTTCCAGAAGACAAACAAGGTTTTTCTTAACTTCTGAAGTGAACTGTGTGACGGGACGGCTACACAGGCTTTTGTCATCACACAGTGGAGTTGATTGATTATGAGTGTGGGCCCTATTGGCAAAAGGATTGGTCCTCCTGGAGACATCTGACACCCCATCCACTCCCTCACTGGAGCAGGGCAACAAGATGTGAGAGCAGGCTGGAGACATGGGAACAACCCCGCAGGAGGGAGCCCAGAAGTAGGCAGTCAGCAGAGGTCCACATGCATGGCCAGTAAGCCCCAGGGTAACTACCAGTGGGTAGAGGATACGGGGTGCACAATGTTGGCCTGACATTAGGGTGGAGGGAGAGGTGAGGTCTGACCACAGGCCCTTTGTTGGGGTTAGGCAGCCAACTTCAGGGAGCTCATGATGTGGGCAGCAGGAAATGGATACAGCCTCGCAGGAGCTCATGAATGGCCCTGTGAGCCTCAGATACCCCAGCAGGTTGGGAACAGGCTATAGTCCCTGAAGAATAGGGGAAGGCCCCATTGTTAAACTAATGGGATTCCAGTAGGAAAACCAAGGGAGAAATGAAGAAATAAGAGAGCACAGCTTACAAGATTTGGGGCTCAAGCTTAGTGGCAGGGAAGCTTCATCAAACAGGGCCAGTGCCCATTTCATGGGTACCAGAAACAAGGCAATAAACCGGTTGCCAACTAGGGCATGAGACCTGGGCAAGACCCGCAGCAAGACTGGCAATGCTGAGCCCTGAGCAGCAGTTACCAACCTTCCAACTTTATGCCCCAGCCACACACCAGGACCCGGAGACCCAGGGGGCTCAGCCAGAAGGCAGGGAGCCAGGCAGCAAGATAAAGAACAACCTCTCCCCAAGGAAGTTTAACAGTTTTCTCCAAAAGTAAGAAAACCCCAACTCCAGCTTCCTCCTCTAGGAGGCTCCCTCCTCCGCTGCCCACCTGCTGCAAAACACATTTAGAGCCACACACCTGCTTCTTCCTGCCCCAAAGTCAGAGCAATAATGTGGCTGGAATATAAACCTTTCTCCCCTGCCTTTGTGGCTTGCCCAGGTGTCGCTCTGAGAGGGCCTGTGGAACTCAATCAGGCAGGCGGCAGAGCTGGGGCAACAAAGTCCAGAAAGAGCCCTTGAGGGCTCTGCCCTGTGATGAAGTCTGCTGGCCTGACTTCCTGGGTGCTGTATCAGGGCCATGTCTCTCCACATGTTCCTGATGAGGGAGCAGCAGTGCAATCTTATCAAGGAGAGGTACTGTAGATTCCTTGATAAAGAAAATTGCGTGCCTTGAAGTTAAATCTGAACCAGGAAGGAGTTTGGAAAGAAAAGTGCACAGGGCTCTAATGTCCAGAGAGCCTCAGCCTGTTGGCTTAGACAGTGAAGCGAGGCTGGCGATTATAACCCTGCTTCCAGAGATGCCATTGCTGTTTCTTGGTGGTGGCTCTTACTGGAAAACCCTCTTAGGTTCATCTTAGAATGCACTCAAACCGATTCCGCCACCTGCTCTGACATTACTAAACGATTGTTGCTATTGCCCTTCATGTAACACTCTTCAGAGACCCAGAACTTTTATTATTATGGTGGAACTCAGAATACCACTTGAACCACCGAGAGCCACCTAAAATAAAACCACAGCTATCTTCAGGAAGTGAGCTGGACAGCTGGATTTTCTCTCTAAATAGTAGACCAACCGTTTTAGTAGGTAGCCACCAGATTTTAACTTGTTCTCAGTGGAAATCTCTTTTTTAAGACATTTCAGACACTTTCTTGGTATCTTTAAGCAGAACGCAGTGAACCATTTGTGATAAACCACATAGTGACTGTAGCCGCAACTCCAGGTTTTCTGCGTGGGAGAGACAAAAGGGCAGTGACCTGGACAGAAAAGGGAATCAAGGATTGAGAAAGCATCACTTCTCCATGTCAAATGGTAGCAGAGGGGCGTGAAAGCCCCCCCAGGTGCCTCTGCTCAGTGCTGCCTCTGCTGTAGGGGACTGTGTGAAAATCAGTTAATGGAGGGACTGCAGAGGAACCTGGTGACCTGCCCCAGCAGGGCACAGCGGTGTGCCCGGGGACACTGAGCAGCAGCAGCTGCCTGCTCGCATTCCACCCTGCCCTGGCCGGCGTTCCCTGCCCCGATCCCATAGGGCCACAGAAACAGGAGACAGGTGGCTGGCTGTCCCCCACGGCAGGAAAGCTGTTCTGTCTTCTGTCTCGAGCGATTTGTTTCTCTGCTGTTGCCAGTGGATTGTATGTCACTGCTTCTAAAAACAGCCAGCAGGGCCGACGCCGTGACTACTGATGCAGCCTCCAATTTCCCTCCCTCTGCTTTTCTCCCTCCTGCCTTTCCCCTTTCTTGTCATTTCTGTTGCTCCTCAGATTTGTGAGAAAAGACTGGCCTTTTATAGACATCGCTTGCCAAGCACAGTACTTCTTTCTGTCTTTGTTGGCTAACCCATCACTCATAGTCCGGCAAGGATAATCTTATGGTCTTCCGCTTCCCTTTGGCAGAGTTCTCTAGGGGCCCTGCTTTTTGCTGACAAAGAGGAGAGTTGTGTGTGTATTTTTCTGGCAACTTTCTCTCCTTGAGCAATCCAAAAGGCTAAGGATGCTGGAAAGTGAGTGTGTATAAAGACAGTCTTTATAATCTCCTCATGCCCCTCTCTGAAAGCACTGATTGCTTGAGCAGATTGAATAGTTCTGGTTCTGAGGCAAGCTGGCGCTGAGAGGTAAAGAGCCCAGATTCTGTGTCACAGAGAATGGGGTGTGAGGACACACTTTCTCACTTACTAGATGTCTAACTGTGGGCAAGCCTGTGGCTCAGTTTCTTTCACCTGTGTGTACAATCGGGTCAGAAGCAGTCATCACATCATAGGAAATTGCCAAGCACGTTAGCACAGTCCTCAATAAATATTAGCTATTATTGTTGTTATCATATAGAGAGAATGCCTGGAAACCTGGTATCACTTAGTAAGTACACTGAAGAAGTTCTCCAAGGGATTGACTTTCCATAATACTAGAGAATGTGGTATAGAATTAGTCTATACACAGGCATGATTGTCTCTGGACCTAGGAAAGTGGCTTGAGACATATGTATGCAGCTGTGACCGTATTTGAGGAATATTGTTTCTTAATACTATTCTTTGGTTTGAAAAAAAAAACACTGGGAGCCACATTTCTATTTTCAGGATGTGGTGAACTAATGAAATGTCAGAAAGCTACTGACGGGGGAAAATTGCTTTTGAGCTTCCAAGGGATATTACTAACTCATGCTTTTGAGACTACTTGGGCGATATCCCCACAATAAGCACGGTAAACCGGAACCCCTGGGTGTCTTGTTCAAACTACATGTTTTTGTTGTTGTTGCTGTTGTTGACAAAATGTGAGCAGGGGAGGGACAGAGAGAGGGAGACACAAAATCTGAAGCGGGCTCTAGGCTCTAAGCTGTCAGCACAGAGCCCGACATGGGGCTCGAAACCATGAACCAGAAGATCATGACCTGAGCTAAAGTCAGACACTCAACTGACTGAGCCACTCAGGTGCCACATGAACTATATGTTTTGTTAACATCCTTTCTGGGCCTTCTTGACCTGAATAGGACCTTAGAGTATCCTCACCATCTGTGATCCTCACAGGGAATTTGTGACAACACTGAAGTGTGCCATTAATGAGATCTGTGCTTTTCTCGGGAAACTGACAATGTCATTTTTCTTTTGGTAGGCCCAAAGAAATATCAGAGAATTATTTTTATTTATGTAATGCTCAGAATTTGAAGTAATTCCACAATGATCTTAAATACATACTTGCTCCAGTATTTTAGAGTAAATTCATATGTGTGCAAAACGAAGTGACAGGTTTCTTCTTGGTCACCTTTCAATTCTAAGATTCTTTGGAAGAAAAAAAAGTTATAGTTATTCAAAAATATCCCCCCAAAAATCTAGGCTTTAATTTCCATGTGTGCCCGGTAAGTGAACGTACCAACAAAATCATGGAGCAAGAGTGCTGAGGGATAACGATAAAGTGTACTGTTTTTACAGCAGCCAACACATCCCAATTGTAACTATACACAGGTTTGATTTTGAATCCAAGTGTGCTGTTGGATCTTGTTAGAATCATTATCATTATGGTGACAATTATCTTGGTTGTTATTTACCATGTATTGCCTATCATGTTCCCATTATGTTTATTAAAAAATTATACAGTCATATCATTAAGAGTACACATTTACACTAGGGATATTAGCTGCTTGTCGAATTGCTTACGTAAGCTATTTGCCATTGTCTTAAAACAAACAAGTAACCCTTTGATTTAGATTGGGGTGGGGGATGGGGAAGAAAGAGAAAGAGAGGGAGGGAGGGTGGAAGACAGACCTATCCAAGCCCACAAAAATTTGTTTAAATAATCAGATATGATTTAACGGGCTACAGACTTTACTAGAAAGAAAAATCAGGGTGCCTGGATGGCTTAGTTAGTTAAGTGTCCAGCTTTGGCTTAGGTCATGGT